TTTTTTTTTCTCTAATTGAAATGTCGCCTTAAAGCTTGGAGGTATTGTTGGTTATTTGGAAGGCAGTCGTTAATAAAGTTGCTCTTCTCACCTCAGCAACACAAAACCTTTTAATACGCTACTTTTAAGCACATTTTGGTAATTGTAAGGTCACTCGATCTACRATAACGCTCACATTTCTGATTCCCCCCTTTCTGATAGAAAATACAAAGTTATGTGAAACAGAAAACGCACACGAAGCTAACACACTTCAACTCAATGTACACAACGCTGCACAACGTTACATCTTGTGAGTGGATGTATTATTTGGAAAAGGAATCACGGACTATCCCCTCGTTAAGAACAGTGGTAACATTATATCAGTGTGGTAYGGGATTTTACTGGAGAGCAGGTATTTCATTATTGCCTCATGCATGAGCACAAATGATGTACAAATTAACAAAAATAACCACCCGCCGAGGAGGATCTAAAGCCATTTGAAATGTAGCCGGGTCACAATTTTACATTCATTTTGTGCAGGTGACCGTGATTTTAAAGGTATAATTGTTACATTTTTGATTATTCGTCTTTTCAGGCCTTTCGTTCTGTTCCGCCTCACACTTTTATTTTAAAATACAAATTCWTCTTCCTACATCAGCAATAAAGCTACATCAACGACAGAGAATATAAAAAAAGTCAGTTTTTTTAACTGATTCCATCCAAACTGGGGCCAGGTTTGAAACAAACCTAAAATGAAACAATAAAATAAAAATAAACCTGTGCTGTATAGTATGTTAAATCCTCACTGTTCATGTGATTTAATATGCATTTCCTATTGTGTTAAAATAACACATCCTTGTTAATGTGAGACCAGAAATTATTGCCTGGATATTGTGGCAACGCTGCGGAGGTTCTGCTTGCTCCGTGCTGTGCATGATCCATCTCTTAAAATCTTTGGCGGACAAGATGTAAGGGGAGGGTGGGGGGGGGGTGTCAGGACAGTAGTGGGCAATGCTAAAATCCTTCAAACAGTGGAATGTTTCAGTAGTTCATCTCATTACAGAGAAGCAAGAAAAGAAGTTAATGGAAAAGCATCCCATTTTATATGTGTGTGTGCTTAGACAATAATGCAAAGGAAATTAGGTAAATAAAGAAGAATTAAAAAAACAGCAAAACAAGGATAAATGATGTAACCAGCATCATCCTTTGTAATCGCATCTTCAAGTGCCAGGACGCAGGGCTTGCATGCTGAAGCTGATGGGAGAGTTATTGATGAAAGTACCAGGATGAAAATTTAAAAAAGGACAACTCCATGTGCCCCTCATGAGACTGTTGGGTTTTCAAACGTGGCTGCACCCCCCCCCCC